AAAAAGCACTCAAAATCAGAAACGGAAGAGAAGTTACAACAGATACCACATAAATACAAAGGACTATTCAAGGATACTATGAAAAGCTATACACCACCAAATTTGATAACCTAGAAGAAACAACAAATTCTTAGAAAAATGTAACCTTCCTAGACTGAACCACGAAGAACCGAAAAACCCAACTAGACGGATCAACAGTAAGTAAATTGAAAGGGTAATCAAAAACCATCCGAAAAATGGAGGTCAGGACCAGGTGGCTTCACTGATGAATCCTACCAAACACTGAAAGATTTAATACCAACCTTTCTCCAACTCTTCCAAAAAATAATCAAATAGGAGAGAATAATTCCTAACTCATTTTATGAGGTTAACATTACCCTGATACCCCCCAAAAATGTACCCGGGTCTTTAAATAAAATAATTGTGTCTTTAAAAATAATGTTCTTATGATTCCTAAATCACTTGTTTTATCTCTTTCCTTTTCTTCTTTAGGTCTTAAATATCTGATGTTCTTCAATTACCCGTAAGAGGGAGGCGCTAACACGCTGAATCCAAGTTCAGGGTGCAGTGGGTGGAGCTTGTTGAACAGTGGGCCTCACCTCAGAGAGGTAGCCGACCACCCCACTTCCGATATCCCGGGGTCTTTTCTCTTTAGCCAGTCCGTTTCTACAAAAAGAATTCCAGCCCTGGCTGGTGTGGCTCGAGGGACTGTGGATTGACTGCTGGCCTGTGAACCACAGGGTTGCCAGTTCAATTCCCAGTCGGGGCACATGCCTGCCTTGAGGGCCAGGTGCCCTCATGCAAAAGGCAACCACACATTGACGTTTCTCTCTTTCTCCCTTCCTTCCCCTCTCTAAAAATAAATAAATAAAATATTTAAAATTTTTTTTTGAAAAAGGGAATTCACTTCTATTTGGGATCACAAAGCTGGCCACCAGATGTGTACTTAACCTCCATCGTTTATACAGCATTTCACCGCACTCCCCTTTGTGACTGGCGTTCCAGAATCCAGGACGTCTCTGGTTCCGCCTCCAGGGAACAAGCCCCAGTCCCATCTTCCGCTGGAGGAAGCTAAGGGTCACTACGCGGCCCTGTAGAGCCAGGAAGAGCACCTGGGGATAGGCCCCTTACGCGCATGCTCAAACAAATGTTTCCGTACTTTCAGTTCCACCTCATTCCCGCAGATACGCCTGCCTGTTGCATCTAACTCCTGAGCCTTTCAGAAATTAAGTACAAGGGTTTTGAACAAGGAGTTCATTTGTTCTTTATTGTCATCCCCTACTACACACACCTTACATTTTTACTTCACTTTCCAACTTTTCAAATTGTGTTAATAGCTCTCATTTACTGCAGTCTTTTCTTCCATGCTTTTAATCCTTGAGGGCTGATACCTTTTTCTTATTTACTGTAATTTTAGAGGCGTTTTAGAATAGATCGGGGGAGGTTAATGCACACGTTCAAACTGTCATCTTTAAGGATGTGTCTCATCCTCTGTCTTGTGCCCACCATCCAGCTTAAGAAATAAAACATTACGAACACAGCTGAAGTTGCCTCTGTGCTCAGGGTCAGCCTTCTAAAATTTTTTAGATGAAAATGATGTGATTCTCTAACACTAAGTTTTGTTATTCTAATGTTAGAGAAAAGTTAAAGAAAAAAATAAAAATATTTTTAAAAATAATGACGCATTAGAATGTTTCGCTTGCCTGAGCAAATACATCTCAAACAGCATGTTAAACAGTAGCTAAGAGAAGCCATTCTTGTTTTACTGTCTTCTTTTGCAGGGTGGGGAGGGGGACAACTAAATTGAGCTTCATTCTAAAAATAATGTTAGACCTTAGACTTAATACATTCTCTCAATTAAGAAATTTTAGGAAACAATTTTCATTGGGAATATGTATGAATTCCTTGTGTACATTATGATCGCTCCTATTTTTTCTATTGCTGATTAAAGAAAGTAGGTATGTTGAAGTATAATTAGCATAGTATAAAACACTCATTTTAGGTGTACCATTTTAGTCATTAATCAGGTAGGTTTCTAGTAAGTTTATAGTACAACCATCAACACATTCAAGATTTAAAACGCTTTCATTCACAAAGTAATTTTTATTCATTGGGATTATTTTTATTACTGTTTCTCTCCCAGTTCACTGCAAACTTCATGAAAAGAAAACGGCTGAGTGCTTCTGCTCATTCTTATTTAGACAAAGTGCCGGGCCTGCTGCCTGCCACACACTAGGGAGGAACTCAATGGATATTGTTAAATGAAGAATTCATAAGGACTGTTTCTGTTTTAATTTTGACATTTCTTTCTCTTCTTTACTTTGACTCACTGTTTTCTTTCTCTAGATTCTTCATATATGAACTTAAATCACTGTACTTTCTTCGCAATCTAGACTTTTTTGTGAACATAGACATTCTGAGTGATATCATTTCATCAAGTATTTGAAAAAATTCCATAGATTTTGTTTTAGTGTCTATATTATTTCTATCCTTCAAAAATACAGCTAGAATATAGCCCCTCTCAAAAGCCATAAAAATTTTTCCATTTTCTACAGAGTAATATCTAAAGTATTTGGTAAAGTGTTTCGGTAAAACAATCAAGCCAGCCCACACTGATTGCGGCCTATCAGCTCATCCACACACCTGCCACTCAAGTCAGACTGGACTCCTGCTCTCCCCTTAAATAGGCACTGTGCTTCTGTTTATAAATATTCTCTCTCTCTCTCGTGCTCAGGACCCAGCAGAATGTTTTCTTCTCTATAGTAGCTCAATAAATGTTTGTGGAAGAGTTCATGCCACTGTTCATAATCCAAGTTACGATTTTTAAGATTTTTACATCTTTTGCAGTTTTGAATTGTATTATGCAATTTCTAATTTTATTGTACTGTGGCCTGATGTTAATACTATTTTTTTTAACTTTTTAATTTTTGTTTTCAAAATATTTATATATTTGTCTTCAAATTGTATTTGTTTTCAAAATATTTATCTTTGTGTAATCTATTTTTAAACTGCATTAAATACTTCTTTGTATCCTATATTTTGGTCAATTTTTGTCTAAGACTTAAACATTTAAAAAGACTTCTTGGCTGTTCTCCCACCACCGTCAGACTGTAGAATTCATGAAAGCAAGAACCATGTCTACCTTACGAGTGCATCCTAAGCACCCAGGACACGTGGGTATGTTTAGTGTTGTCTTTCATTTTATTCTTTCCACCACTACTAAACTTAAAAGTATACACCAAGAAGTTCTTAGGTAGATTGATTACCTTATGAGAGAACAATAAATAACAATATACATAATAGATGGGGTTCAATTAAATACAGCACAGGTGGCAAACACAAGGCCCACAGGCCAAACCCAGCCCTCCACCTCGTTTTATCCGGCCCAGCCCCTTGTTTCTACCTGGCAGCAGCGCCCAGCTCCTTGCCCCTCATTAAGGAGCAGTTACATTTATCCAGTCCTAAAATCACATTCGGCCCTTTGAAGGCAACCTTGAGGCTGATGTGGCCCCCAGTGAAAATGAGTTTGACAGCCCTGATTTATAGCAACAGACAGAGTTCACATTATGAATCGAGTTGTTCTAAGAGTGAGACACAAATACAATCCCTGCCCTTGCGGCCAATGAAGATGCACAGGCTAACAAGTAACTCTGATCAAGTGCACTAAAAGGAAGGTATGTCCAAAATGGCTTGGAAGTAGAAGTAGACAAAATGCTTAAATTGGGTAGGGAAAGAAGATACGTAAGGAAATTCTATGGTAGTAAGTAAAAATCCTCTGAAGGATGAAGAAACCAAACCCAGACGAAGTATAAGGCATGTTCCAGACGGGGCCAGAGATCTCAGAGGAGATCTAACTCCCAGTTCTGTGCTCTTTCCACTACTCCAGGGCTGTTAAACTCATTTTCACCGGGGGCCACATCAGCCTCAGGATGCCTTCAAAGGGCCGAATGTAATTTTAGGACTGGATAACTGTAACCACTCCTTAACAGCTAAGTGAGAGCTCAGCACTGCTGCCGGGTAGAAACAAGGTGCCGGCAGGATTCAGCCCCCAGGCCTTGCATTTGGCACCTGTGCACTACACCACGTGTACTATCAATACTTTCAGCCTCTCACAAAAGAGTAACAGGAGTGCATTTAATAGTGACAAAATTAGGTTGGGGGATTTATTCACCCTAACTCCATCTCTCATTCATACAAACAAGAAAACCAAGGACTATACAAAATTGTGACATTAGCCAAGCACCACATAGCTCAAACACCTTTCCAGTTGATGGGCCTATAAACACGGGGCTCCAGAGCAACCTTTCCGTGACTATCGCCCTCTCCCTCCACGTATTTGTTGACCCCACAGTCCTGACTTTGGAATGTTAGAATATTTAATCCCCCCTCCCCTGTTACAAATTAATGAACCGGCACTCTGAATCATATGTCAGTTTTGGCTGCTGAGTGAGCATGAAATAACCCCAAGAATTTGCTCAGTTCTAACAGCACTGTAGAAAAAAGTTTGCTCTAAACCAGTAACTGAAAAGGTGATTCGGGTCACAGATGGATTTTATTTCGTTTGCAGGGGAAGAGGAAGAGCAGTGGGGGGGAATGGGAAGGAGAGGGGAAGAGAAGACAGGGCCTAGCTCCAAAAATATCCAGATAGTTCATACAAAAATGCCCGTTCCCAGGTTCTCCTGAAAACTCTGAAGCTCAGCCAACAGTGGGCCGACACCGGCACAGAGCAACACCAGGCAGAGTTAAGAAGCCACAGCCCCATTTAACATGGGGCATTTGCTTTCTAGTTCACCCCAGACCAACCGCTCTTTTCCATTCCCGGTGCTGAGGCCAAAAGGCGACTGTCATTTCCCATTCTGCTTGCAGTGCTGTTTGTCTCATAAACTTCAAAGAATACAGAATGCCATCCATGGTGGGTAAGTGCAGCTTTTTTAAAAGTACAATCCACTCTTTCCACTAACGCAGTAAGACAAAAGCTAGAAGCCAAGAAATCAATTTACCTTAATCTGAGTCTGTTCAATGGACTTTTCCCATATCTGCTGATCATATGCTCCAATCTGAAATAGGGAGGAGGCTATTTAAATGATGCAAAGGAAATCCTTTTATGAAGATCAAACCTCACCACAGTCATAACTATTACATATCAATTATGATACTGGAAAATGTGCTGCTCAGAGTTTAAGTAAGTTATCTGGGTGATATCTAAAATATGTTTCCACTTCCTCAGGAAAACTAGAGACGATAAACGGTAAGGGACAAACAGCTCAATAAGATTGTCGACAGCACCCTTCTGAACGCACAGATACAAGTTTCACGTCTAAAAGAGCAGTTTGGTCATAAACAGAGTTTCACAGCATTCCTGGGGCATTATGGATGTGGCCTGAAGAAAGGAAGTGACTTGAAAATCTTACTCGGGGACCTGGGACGGGGTTTAAGAGACCTAACAACCTTGTCCACCGTTTTTCCCTGTATGTTGAAAGAGACCATGGAAGAGTACCTGGGGGAAACTAACGTGAAACTCTTTGTGGGAGCTCTGGCAGGGAGTGTGCTTTATCAGTAAAAAACACTGACATTACCTTCTTTTGGTACCACGATATAGCATCTCTCTCATTTGAGGCCATGTGTGTGTCCAGCCAGAGGATGGGATGTCACTGCAAATGAAGGAAAACCGGAGTGAGTCCCGCTGCTGAAAGGCACTCATCCCAGTTTGGGTAGAGCTCAAAAACCGCTTTTCTCGGCCTCTCCGGGAGCAGCCGTCTGGCTCTCCGGCTGTTTGCCAGGAAAAGATAAAATAAAATAAAAACAAAAGCGAGCCAAAAGCCTCTGGCGCAGCGGCGACCACAGCAGCGTCTCCGCAATGTTTCACGCGAGTGTGTCCGTGGACACGGGGAAGGGGAAGGGGAAGGGGGGGGAGGGGAGGGGAGGTCGCCGTCGCTGACCTGCCCACCTGTCCCCACCCCCACCCTCCCCGGCGCTCCCCGGCGCTCCCCGGCGTCCGGCTCTCACCTAGTGCCCGCTGCCCGGCAGTCTGGCGGCCGGGACCTTCCCCTTCAGTGGACCCAGCCGGGCCGTGAGGCTGGGGGCTAGGCGGCAGGCCCGGCGGGCGGCATCTTCCCATGGAGGCGGAGACGCTGGCGGGGCCGTTACCATGGAGACCGCAGCGGCCGCCGCAGTGAAGGAGGCAGCAGTCCTCCCGACGCCCCGAGGACAATCTGTTACCACAGACCCGGCGTCCCCCAAGCTCTACCTACGAGGTCAACGGAGTGACCGTACAATAAGCAAAGAATGAACTGGGAAAGAAGGGGGGCGATAAAAAGCGAAGGGGAACAGGGGACTTTGTTAGGCCACCCGTCGTCACGGCAACAGCGAAAGGCTGTGTGCCTGGCCGGAAAAGTCAGCGGCCGAGGCCCCCCAGGCCCGGAAGGCGGCTGCCTCGGGGCAACGGACGCGCGTCCTCGCGGTCCGGGCCGTGACTCAGCTGCCGAGAGCGGGCGACTGCGGCTCTGCGGACCCCGTGCCGCCGGCCGCGGCTTCCGCTTTCCGGGTTTTATCGCGGAGGTGGCTCCGCCCCGGCCCGGGCCTGCCGGCACGAGCCTCGAGCCAGACTCCCGGATGCAGGGGCTGGGGAGCCGCTGGCAGTCGCGGCCCTGAGCAGCCGCCCCAGGTCGCCCCCCACGCAGGTCGCTTCCTCACAAGTGGCTTTTCCCGCTACCGATCTAAAGGAAGTCGCTCTTGATATTCTAATAGTTCCCGCTCATTTCTTTGTGCTTTGTTGTTGATACCGGTCTTCCCCAACGGGCTCGTGGGCTCCACGCCCCGCACGAGCCTGGCGCACATGTGTTCAATCTTGGCTGAATGAACGAATGTTACCGATTTACACTGGGCTGGGACGAAGGGCCTGACAGGCTGCGGCTTAGTTACCTCTCCCCCTGAGTCAGGCTTTGGGGTGCTCAGGGGCAAAGGATGAGGAGGGGGCGAGGCTTGGGCAAAAGCAGGGCACCTTCCCAAATTAGAGTAGGGGGAGGTGGCGGCGGGAAGCACTGTTTCCAGGTTAAGAATCCAAGCAGGCTGACGGAGGTCAGGAGAAAGGAACGGCTGCTCCCCAACGTGAGGATTTCAGGATGTGTTAAGTTTTAAGTCGCTTTCCTCCTCTGTACAGTTGTTGTGTTTGTCATTAATGAAACACGGACCACCCAACAGCCACCTCACCTCCACTGCGGCAGGCTCCTTGCTGGCCTGCCCGTGGCACTCGAATCAGGGAAAGCTAATCACAGGTGTAATGGCTACACTAGCTGCCACTTCAGAAACTCTTAAGTATGATTCTGGATGTTTTACAGGCACCTCCAAGCATCCATTAATCGACTTCAGGTGGAAGTTACCCACATCTTATCAATGAGGAAAATCTAGCGAGAAGATAAAGGTATCTCCCACAGAATTTAAAATGACTTCACCCAGGCTAATTTTTAAATGGCAAATGGGCACTGGTTTCCCTTTCTTGGCTTTTGCTTCTTGTCAGCTTTGCCCTTCTAAGCCAAACATCACAAATCTGTTGGGTTTCGAGACAAATGGCCAACTTATAAAACGGGATAAATGACAATGAAAAAGTCTTTTTTTTGTTTTGTATAGCTAAATATTTGCTTTAAATTACATTAACAGCAAAAACATTTTACTTCCCCGCTCAGCACCGGAAAAAGGCCTTTTGTGGCGTTATGGAAGAACAGCATCAGGTCGATCACATGAAGGAAAAACAATAAGTTGCAAATTCTCCTTCAGAAGCTCCTTTGTACTTTTCAAGGGCTTCCTAAGGCTGTCCCTGCACGAAGGTGGGCTTTGAACCTGAACTGCCTCCAGATCCCTGCTCCTCGGCCCAGCAGGCCTGTGTTCTCACCTGTGTGATAAAGACTGTCTTGTTCCTTTCCTACTTAAAGACTGAGAATTGAGATACCCTCATATTTAAGTGTCTGGCCCACCACAGTTAACTCAAAAAACACTCGTTCCCTTTCTTTTCCTTTACTAGTCAGAACCAAGGGCTAACGGTACTTAGGACACGTTCACACAGATGAAACGAATGAGGGGAAAAATCCACTGCATTGTAAGTCAACACATCGACGGCACCTCCACGCACCACCCTGATCAACACGGCATGCGTGTTGATCATGCACTTTCAGTAACACCAACACCAGCAGAATCAAAACCTAAGGTTGTCCTCAAAAGTAGGTATAAACAAATGCCAAGTGTGGCTTTTCTTCTTTCCCCAAACTAGTTGTGTCTCAATATGGATGGGATTTCTCCCAGACACCCAGGACCTTTTCTAAAATAGCAGGAAATAACAGAGGACATAGATTGGACTAGGGGGATTAAATACTTTTTTAAAAGGTACCAGGTGGCTTAGAATTCACATGTGTGATTCACTTTATCACAAAACATCAGTAAAGGACAAATCAGACTTTGTTTATTAAAAAAATACTTTACAGGAAAAAAAAACCTCTATGCATTCCATTGTCCTATTTTACAAAGAGATAGCTTAACAATTTAACACACTTAGACAGCTACAAAAAAAGCACTGTGCTAAAAGATTATTCACACAAATTTAGATTTAAGACTATTCATTAAAAACCTTTTTAAAACACTTGTTAATGTCAATAAACAAACTAAGGCCACACAACGCAAATAGTCCGCCAGGCAAATTATACATTTCATCTATATGCAAAGACCTCTTAGATAAATTAAAGCCACAGGGAAAAAAAAGTCTTAGCTGCCAATCAAAATGGAGTTTAGTCACAAAAATAAAAAACACTATTACATGAAAATTTACAACATGTGAAAGAAGTAGTACGTAAGTATTTCTTCAGAGAGAATTGAAAAGTGCTATATTAAGAGACAGTGGTCTCAACTACATGCACAAGTGGATCCTAAAAAATGTATGAAGAAAATGGAAGGCCATAACATTTATGGAGAGATACTTGCTTTTAAAGCAACAAGCTCTTCCGCATGAGGGTCAGGTCCCTTATATGCTAAAGCAAAACACCTCTTGTACATTTCCTCTACTTACTGCATGACCAATAAATACAACTACAACCTGTTTTTTTTAAAACAACAAAACTTAGCAGAAATATGAACCTCTGGCATGTACTAGTCAAAAAGTTCTTTTTAGAAAACCTCTAGCAATGACAAAACAGATTTATTAGAAAGACACAAACTCAATTATCCTGCAGGTATAAACAAATTTTTAATGGCAAATACCGATGAAAATATTAAGGACTCATATTAATGATCAAGAATATATTCATTAAAGGTTTTCCTGAATTTTGGAGTCTTGTTCCTTAATTAGCTTTCGTCCTAGACAATATTTATAGAGGGGAAGGCAATAAGCAGAAGTTGCCCCAGCATGAAGTATGAATTTCATGCCTATTAAGACTGATGAAAGACAATGCAACACCTCTTTTCCTCAGGTTTAGTGAAGAATTTGATTTAATAAGCTCCTTTTCCCTACAAGAGTTTGTAATACTAGTCATCTGATATTCTGACTGTGTCTATGGGGAAAGGGCACCTTTCAAAAGTCTGTAAAAATACTGAAATGCCAGTGAAACCAATTGTTTAAGTGCTGAATAAGCAAATGAATACACATACAATTAAGCCTAGAAATTCATTTTTAAAGAGTTAAAACTTTGGAGGGGAACACTCATACACAGATTTTTATTATTATTGCTTTATGAATTTGGAATACATCTTTGAATCCTAATCCTAGCCCGAGCATATCTTGGTATAATTACAGAATGACTTCTGGGGAAGGGGGAAGACTTTTATTCTTATTAGTAAATACCATAAATCATTCTAGTTACTAAGTTAGAAATATTCACATACTGGGTCCTTTCCATAGCACATTTAAAAATAATGTGCTCCACAAAATACTAAAACTTAGAGCGACATTCTGCAAGTTATCTCAAAGAGTTGGCACAACGGATAAAATACCAAAAAAGGAAGATCAGCTTAAATCTCAGTTACAAGTTCACTGCCATCACTACTTTACAAATCAGAAGACGCCAGTTTGCTCCATGCCTCACTCCACCAAACCAAATAATTTAATGATTTAGAAAAGTTAAGATCACTTGTATCACTAAACTAGGATACAGCTTTGAAAGCGGTAAGAAACTCAAAACTTGGGCTTTTATATTCCTCAGTCTTTAAAGCATGCTATTAAAATCTAATACTCACTCACGTAGGACATTCAGAGTTTCCAGATACATGACTAGCTAAATGTTTCTCTCTCCCTATTGCATTTCTAACATACAATGAATTAAGTAGTACATGATTTTAAACATTTTCATACTCTTTTAATGTGTTTCTATTGGAGGTGAGGGTAGAATGTTTATTAAAGGAAAGTGGGGATTTGCTTTTGATTGCAGGTCTTTGCAGATCCGCCGGTTCCTGAGTGGTCACACACAGTGCTGGCTGTCAGGAGACAGTCCCCTTGCTTGTTAGCAATGACCAGCTTAGATGGCAGATGGCATCTGCTGGATGGCAAGTGGGAGGTGGGGAAATCGGATCTTGGAAGACAAGAAAAATAAAAATAAAAAAGTTTTTGCTTTAGCAACCTTGTTCTTCATGATTATTTTAAAAAACAAATGTTGCCTGAGAAGAATTTTACTTTGCACAGCCTAGTAAAGCTCTATGAAATTCTTCCGGACAGAAAATCAAAAACAAAAACGAACCCAAACCCACATACTTTATGATTAAACCCCCCACCCCCAACAATAAAAAAAAATACCCTCAAAGGCAGGTCCCTTAAAAACTAGTCTTGATAAACTAGAATTTACCCCAGAATTTATACCCAAGATTTAAAAACACCCCTGCAATAATCACATTACTTTTCATACCATTCTAATTACCTTATTTACAGAGATAACTAAAACCAACATCACTTCCAATTCATAAATGGTTTACATTGAAATGTTTCTCTATTAGTCTTTATCCTTTTTAACAGAGAATACATACATATACATATATATATAAGGAATAATACAGATTCTAACTAATCACTGCAGTATTTGCTGATGGTTACTTTCCTATCGGTTTACACAGTGACCTCTATACTTTGCTAATATGCATTTAACTACACAACAATATTGCACAAAGTAATATTTATATAAGATTTAACCTATTTCAGAATATTTTAGAGAAAATTCATATTTGATATTTCAAAAGATGCGGCTACGTTTCCATGGTGACAGACATAACAAAGCAGCATCTTTTTTTGCCTATGTTAATGTAAATATTCCAAATCTCACCCTCCAGGAAAAAATCTCCAAATTGCACTATAATCAGGTAGATATAAGAATCTGGCCTTAGGTGTGGGGAGGACTCTTCCTGTAATAAACAAAAGGCCTATAATATTAACTAAGAGAAAGTAAAATGTGTATCACTTTAATATTCTAAAACAACAGAAAGACTACACCAGCTATATGAACTGTGCCTGTTAAAAAAAAAAATTAAATACTCAGGCACTAAGCATTGGGCTACCCAGAACTCTAGGATGAAGTCTAGTGCCATATTTTTATTGGAAAATAACAACACAGAGTAACAGTAAATAAACTCCGGTATTCACCAGTTAAAACTGTGAGTTGAAGTGTCTCAAAAGTCGATCTTTGTCATGAAGACATTGGTGCCAGGTGACAGAAAGAATTTTTCCTGTTTCATGCACAAAACACGGCAACCTCATCAGAAAGATTGATATCATTCTCTAAGGTGGATATTCGTGATCAGTTTGGGAAGCAAAAGTATCCACACAGACTGTGAGGAAGCCAGGAAGCAGAAAAATAAGAGTATCACACCAACATTATCTCTTTTACACAAAATAGCTCCCCCAGTTACCTTGTATTCTAGAAAGATTAACAAACCAGGATAATGAATGACCAAGGACTATTTATCTTTAGCTATTTTTAATTGAAATATGCACTGGGCTTTAAATAACAGATACAAAAAAATATAGCTTGGATAAGAAAGTGCTGTGCGTTCTCTTTTGTTAAACCAGAGAGCCACTAAATTTTCCTTGGAAACTACCTGTTCTTTATGGTTGGAACTAAACAGCTGACTTGCCTCTGAACGAGACACAGGAACTCCTCCCTTCGACCTGTGCTGTTTCTACTGTAGACATTGAATCTGTGCCATAAAGACAGAGTACTCAGCCATAAATCTAATCTTCCATCATAAAAACAGCAACTATGGCAAGAGACAAGATAAAATTAAGGGAAGTGAATAATTTACCAAAAAAAAAAACAACCTGTCATTCCAGAGAGTTATTCTGATTTGAAGAAGAGATTGAATTATTACCTCACACCTTAAAACAGAAAGTAGCAGCAGACCCACTATTACACACTGTACTAACGGGATAAGATACAACTCTTAACTTTGCATCATCTGTGTAAAAAAGATACGCTTGACATTTGTGGAATGTCATTTCTCTTTATAGAATTATAGGCAAGATTTCTCCGATAAAACTTAACTTAAGCCAGTTATAAAACTATAACTTCACATCAAAATTTAAAAAAGTTAAAAAACGTGTTGGAGTATGTACATGTCACACAGGAGTGCCCGCGTGCTCCTGCGGCTTGTGTTGCTGCTCAGAGTCCAGTCTGCTCTCCGCCTTCAGGGCTGGGGCCGGCTGAGCCAGCGGCTCTTGCCGCAGACGAAGCTCCGAGGGGGGTGGGAAGGACGACGACGCGGCCGCCAGAAGCTGCATTTCGGTGCAGGTTTCCTCGGGTTCAGTTTTTATCCTCACGCACTGGGGGTCGACCTCCAATTCTCGCTTTCCAGCTAGGTCGCGGTCCGCCTCAGAACTGCTCTCTGTGCTCTGCGTGGCTTCCACAGCTGGGTGGTACTGTTTGAGCCTTATGTGCCAGGCCAGGCTGCACACGGCTGACACCGTCTTGAACTGGTGGATGACGTTCCTGGGGATGAAGTAGATGTCATTGTCACAGAGCTGGATTCTGGCGTAACGAATGCCTTCCCGCCGCATTTGGTTCAGTTTCGCTTCATCCACCCACTGCACACACTGAAGAGAAGAAAAAGTTTGCATGAGACTTTAAAGTAAAATACATCATTTAACAAAATAAAATATTATCATTAGCACAGAAAACCAGTGGGGCCAAATTAAAGCTAAAGAAATATGAAATAATACACAGCTTTTAAATTTCCTGTAATGCTTGACAAACACTTCTCTTATTTCACTGCCTCTCCAGCAGCAGAGGACGGGCGCAAGTCAGGACGGCCTAGACGATCACGTGAGTATTTTCCATTGCAGCTAAATATCGACTTTCTTTGCTGCACACAAGGGCAACACCTATCTGCTGGCTCAGTGTGCCAGCCTTTCACAGGTGAGGGCACCAGTGCCACGGGGCTCACAGCTGAGACTGCTCAGGGCTGCAGATGAGGAGCAGGACCCTCGGACCACCCGGGGCCCACCTGGCAGCCGGAAGAGCAGAGGGACTGCAAGCATTCTGATCGGGGAGCACCATTTCAGGGATGCTCGACACCCTCCACACGAAGCCTTAAATGGTAGTACAATTAAATTCACTATCCCCGGCTTCTAGCTATAAGATAAAATGAAGAATAAAATGGGGGAAGACTTATTTCTGGTATCTCATTCAAAGGGTCGTCACCTGGGAAACCGGAGGTTCGTGGAGGTCCAACTGCAGTCTCTGGACAACATCGGTAAAGTCCTCGGCATGAAAGCAAATCACATCTTTGGTTATGCGAGGATGGTCACTCCTAAAATTAACCAAATTGAGTTTTAGAAACAATCAAGTAATGGAAAATGATGACAAATTTCAGTGTTTCTGTTCTTCAAACTGCTACTCTAGCACAGGAAGAGATATATAGCTCCTAAGAGCAAAGTATACATTTGCTTCTTTAATCAGCTTTAAAACACTAAAACAGCTGTTTTTAAAAAAGAAAATTAGCTGTCACCAAACTAAAACCACAGCAGCTAAAAACAAAGTGTTTTCTCCCGAACCAGCAGCATGCACTCACAGTCCTCTCAGTGCTGGGCCGGGCCCCTCATCGCTGCACCGCCCTGTGAGGTCGTCCGCCACACAAATAATCACCCTCCCATTTTTCAAAGGAGGAAAAGCTGAATACTCTTTACCTTTAAATACTTATTATCAAACTATGACTGAACTATTTTTTATGAAGATCAGATCCAACTCTATAATAATACTGAAGGTCCTGGCATCATAAATATGAAAAACAAAGCAAAATAAAAAGTTTTAGAATGAGCTTTGTTAAAGCTGTGCCCCAAATGAATATAAAGGGTGTAGCCATTACGGAAAAACAGTATGGCAGGCCCTGTGAAAGTTAAAAATAGAATTACCATATGATCCAGCAATTCCACTTTTGGGTATAGATCCAAAAAGATTAAATGCAGGGACACCAAGTATTTGTTCCATCAGCCAAAAGGTGGAAGGTGGAAGCAACTCAGGTGTTCACTGATGGATAAACAGATGAACACCCTGTGGCATATACATATAATGGAGTACTATTCAGCCTTTAGAAAGAAGGAAACTGACACATGGAACAATACGGATGATCCCTGAGGATGCTACACACTTTGGGCATATTATGCTAACTAAAGCAAGCCGGTCACAAAAGACAATTACTGTATGAGCCCACTAATAGGGAATATTACAGTCAAGTGCACAGACACGGAAAGGAGGATGACAATTAACAGGAGCTGCGGTAGGGGAGAAAAGGGCATTACTCTTTGTGGATGCGAAGTTTCAGTTTTGCAACATGAAAAAGTTAAGGAGATCTGTTTCACAACAATGTAGATATACTTAACACTACTGAACTGTACACCTAAAAATGGTTCAGACTTTAACTTTTCATTTTGTTCCGTGCCTTTTACAATTTTTCTAGAATTTGGTCCCCCATCTTTTCCATGGAGTACAGATTTCCTTAGACAGCATTAGCCAACCCCTGCTGCTGAGTCCCTAACTTACCATTCGCCAAACTGCACAGCTTTCAGAACCCCGACAGCGGCCGTGCTCTGCCAGTCGAACCCCTGACCCACATGATCAGCGTGAGCTCTCGTCCTGTCTTCAAAGAGGACTTCACGGGGTTCACTGGTCCGAGGTAGGTACTGGAGATTTTTAATTTCATTCATTGATCTGGAGTTGATTTGGTTGTGAAGTAAAGGGAAGAAAAAAAGTATGAATAGTAATAAGGCAAAAAAGCCGGCTAAGATACCAAATTTCAAATAAGAGGTGGGCTAGGAGGGTTCAATGATTTTTGATCATTAGCATTTTAACGTGCTCTATTGTAATGTTTAATGTTGATTAGCCTCCTCTCTTGGTAGGTATTGATAGTAAAGAAACTGTACCTTTGGCCCAAATGCAGTGTGTGAATATATAAAATTTGGTTGCCTAGCAACAGAAAACACAATTCAAAGTTCAAGGCTATATATTGCTTTACTGAGTCATTTTTGACTCTCAGAAAACACCTGTAATTCTGACGACATTCTACAAGACTTGATTCGAGATGGCAAACTGAGTATCTACATGCAAATGAAAGCAAAGGCTTCGCACTAACACAGTGGGGTGGGGGGTTGGGGGGATGGGGAATGGAAGGGGTCCAGATGAAACCGAACTGGCTGTGAGCTGATAGCTACTGATACTGAATACATAGCAGCTGCTTATATTATCTTCTGCTTTTTATATGCTCAAACATTTCTAAATATAATAATCTGAAGTAATAAAGGAATGAATACGAAGCAACAAAGGAAATAAATTACTGATAGAAAATTATTAAAAGTGTCTCAGACAAATAAAACTGAGAAGAGAAAGCCAAAGGCCCAAAGTAAACGATAAGGAGGAGGCAGCTAAAGAGGCAGCAGGCTGCCCAACAGACCTTGGAGAAGCTTCCAAGTCAAAAAAAAAAAAAAAAAAACACCCAAAACAAAACAAAAACACCCCGCCAGGTACAACGGTAATGACTAGACAGAAATGAAGGGAAATTGAAGTCAAATTCTGCACAGGAACCAGCTGCCCGCCACCCACGTGGGCAGGAGTGCGGACAGGCAGACGTTCACCCGCAGCCCGCCCTCAGCCTGTTCCTGCTGGAACTCTGCTTTTCATTAGGAATCTGCTCCCATATGCGACTTCCTTCTCAAGCAGAGGTGGGGAAAAAGCTGAGTAATCTTTAACTTGAAATACTTATTATTAAGCTGTGATTGAACTACTACCTGGAAAGATCAGATCCAACTCTACAGTAATATTGAAGGTCCTGGCATCTCAGACACGCGTCCTGGTAAGCTCATTCCCCTTGTCACTGACTGATTCGGAAACAGGCGTGAAATGACTCTGACTCAGGCTAGGACTGTTAGAGGAAATCGCTAAGGAGACTTCTTGGAAGCTTTCTAGCTTTTACAAGAGAAGTAAACAGAAAAGACAGCCCCTCCTTCTATCACCTATATCCAGGCCCAGACGTGGTGCCTGGAACCGCCAGCTATCCGGCAGCCATAGAGGAAGCCACCGTTAGTATACTGCCGAGGCAAAAAAAAAAAAAAAAAAAAGGCAGAAGCAGAAAAAAGGAAAACACCTGGTTCCTGGATGGAGCACTGAGTCCCTGACCATATGGCACTGAGAGACCACCTCTCTGGACTTCCTGATATACGGAATAACATTTCATGAACCAGTCTGAATTAAAAAGTCTTATGAGCCTATATGGACTAAAACTTAAAAAGTTAATAAGCCTAAATGGGTGGGACTATGGGTATTTTTGCCTTCTTTTTATTTTCTTTCTATTAGCTACTTTTTTTTAAATTTATAAGAATCCGGAAATAAACAGTGGTCATTTCCATCCATCATCATGGTGGAGAGAGCCACTGTTGTTTTGGTGCACGGCCAGGTTTTACCCCCCCCCCACCACCACGCATTCACACGGAGTTTTTACAGAGTGTGGGCATACGCTCTCCCAAGCACCAGAGGTTACTCCATACTTAACGCTGGTATCATTCTCCAATGAGCTTGAAGGTGAGGGCCAGACCACTCCATTCTTACTCACTTCTGGGTGCTTATTTTGAGTTGCTATTTGTAGCCTAAGCAAATACTCATTTTCAGTCTCATTATACAAGATTTTTCATAGTACTAGAATGAGTTAATCTACATGTTTTAAGTGGCTGAAACATAAAATATATTAGCCCAATATGAGTTATTATGGAGAATACATTATTGTTTTCATTCAGCAAACCCTGATCACCTGTGATGTCATAAAGACTGAGAACAAAACACAGTTCCTGTCCTTAAAGACCTGAAAACTTAGTTAAAAGAAAAAAAAAAAAGAAAAGAACATGTAAACCCAGAGAAGGAAACAATTAGGTAAAGGAACAAAGAAAAAAGGCTTCACAAGTGAAGTGACATCTAAGTAGAGGTCCGAAAGTCTAGCAAGAGTTTGGCAGGCAGAGAGGAAGAGGGGCGAAGGGATGCCATTCCAAGAAAAAAGGACAGAGCGAAAGCTCAGAGCCGTGAAGACCACAAGGGAAACTGAACTCTGTGTGGTCAGGTGGACGAGAAGCAGGCACTTCTGCAGAGGTGCTGCTCAGACTAGATTAAGAAGGATCCGTGTCAACCACACACAGGATTTTGTCCTGCAGGCAGTTAGGACCCACTTTTTAAGACAAGAAGTAAAAATTAAATGTTCTTAGCAGGATGCCTCACTCTGATGACTGCATGATGTGTGAACCAGACTAAGGAACTGACCATGGGCAGATTTAGTAAAACAGCTCTCCACACAACCCAGACAAACGATGTTCAAACTGGGCTCAGGTATCAATCACTTTCATAAGCAACCGACTTTCAACCGTGCTCTTGGAGGGAAATAACGGTTTACCGTCGTCTCTTGAAGGGGGACTTTGGCATGTCTGCCGTGGGGATCATCTGCTCTCCCGGCCTCACCCACATGATCGGCCCGTCGTCGCTCTGGGACCTACACTGGAGGCGCAGGCTGGAGAGGGTGCCCCAGGGCAACGTCATCTGCGGGTCAGAGGAGGCACGTCACCGACTCATTCGGGCTGTTTACGAGCGAACCTCCCCACCCAGAGGAGATCTCTAAGAAACTTACTTCAGGTATGTGTAGGAGGAAATAAATATATCTGACAGTAATTTACGTATACAAAAGAAAACTGAGGTTAAATACTTTGTACTAAACATTTCTATTCAAAACATTGGATAAAATTTCATTTTAACCAATTGAACAACAAAATAATTTAAAGAAATTCATTTTAACCAGACAAAATTGGGTTAATCATTTTTCATGAAAAGTGTCCACTCAAGTAATGATCAGAACTTTAATACTGTGAATTAACACTCACTTTCAGAAATGGCGATTCTTCTAACATATCGAGGAACTCTGGGAAGTAATCACCAACTTCTTCATCGACCGCGCCAACGAGACTTATCTGCCGCATGGGGCCTGCCCGGTAGGTGCCGCAGCAGTACGTCCTGCTGACCTGGGACACACACGAGAGAGGGGAGACAGGGCTAAAGACACCGTCGTGCAATGAAACAGTGAGAGCAGGGTGCTGTTTCCAATGCTGCTATTTCTTCTACATTCTAAGAACTCAACGGTCAGCACCTTGGACAAAGCCAACCGTTACAGAAAAGCACCCAAGCAGACCGACGAATACACTGGTGTATGTTCCATGAACAGCAACTCCAAGGTGCAAGTTAGTCTGTGGTCCAGACACCTCAAAGAAATACTGAAGACATTAAGACTTACTCACACTTCTCTGAGAATAATAATTGTTGAACTCTGTAAACACTTTAAAGTGATCTTGTTTAGGAAAAAGTCAGTAAAGAAACAATAAAGCGGACAGGGCAGACTGAGCTCACTGTGCCTTCCCTAACTAGAGAGCCCTGACCGGCAGGCCAGACGCCAGGCTGACTGCTGCCCAGCCCCGGCTCCCACCGCCTCTACACAAGGCCCTCCACCCTGGTCAGGCCCATCTTCTTCCCTGTCCAAGTGATGCCCGAGTTATTTCTACCTGCAACGATCTGCCTCTTGAATCTGCCCTACTTGGAGAGTCTTCTTTGCTGTCAAACCATATCTTATCTATCTTTCAATGATCAGTTCGAGACTTCTGGTCTTCTGGAAGCCTTCCTGACCACCTTTCAGGATCTTTCCCTTTTCTGAAGTCTAATGTTACCTGCAAGCACATACATTTTCTCTGTATCAACCCTCTAGTGAATTGAGGGCATATTCCACACAAGATTTGAACCTTGAAAAATCCTAGCATTCAAATGGAATCTACCAATATCAGTACAATCTGGTATTATTCTTTGAGTCATTTCATGGATGTTCTTAAACTCCTACCTCATATTTATTTATTTAGTTAGTTATTTCCTCACCTGAGGACAATTTTTTTCCCATTGCTTTTAGAGAAGAAGGGTGTGGGGAGCGAGAGAGAATGAAAGAGAGACATCAGCGTTAGAGAGAAACAGCAACTGGTTGCCTTCTCATATGTGCTCCAACTGGGAATCGAACCTGCAACCTTCAGTATGTGCCCTGACCAGGAATCCAACCCATGCATGACCTTTTGGCACACAAGACAACGCTCCAACCTAGTGAGCCACACCAGCCAGGGCCCACCTCCAATGTAGAATGAATGTGTCTAAAGGGTAGAGATAGATCCTGTGTATACAGATGACTAGACTAAAAATGCTGATTAACCAGGATTTCCACCTTGAATCAGTAACCTAGCATTTTGACCTTAGTTAAGATGGAGATTAACTGAAAACCCTAACATATACCTTTTCATAAGGTGGGTCTCTCTTGAACATTCAAGACAAAATCAACTGCTACTATTTTTTTTAAAGATGTTATTTATAGGGAAAGGGAGGAAGAAAGAGAAGGAAAGAAACATCAGTGTGCAAGAGATACATCAACGATCAGTTAGTTGCCTGTCGTGGGCCCCCAACCAGGGACCTGACCCGAAACCCAGGCACAAGCCCTGACCAGGAAGTGAACCTGTGACAGACCCTTCAGCTCGAAGGCAGGCCACACCAGCCAGGGCAATTTTCTTAAATGCCACCTCTTTTGCCTCAATAGAGAGCATGAATGACCGTCTCGTGTTTCTTACACAATTCTTTCCTATTAGTTCTTTAGCAGCATTCTCAGAACCAACCCTCTGTTTTTTTCCACAGACAATTTAACATCGCTGCCACCCATATACATACACACAGAAAAAGGGTGTTAGATCTGATTCTCAAATAGCAGGGGTTTTTAAAAGTTCCTTATAAAACTTTCTCCCAAGGTCACCTCAGATGACCTTTAAGCAGCCGTAACAGCCCCAGCCACAATTACCCTGCACATGTTTGCATTAGCTACCTCCCTCCATCTGCGCGGTCAGCATGCTGTGAAACGCCAGGGAGGAGGGCTGGGAAAGAGGGTGCACGAGGGGGGCGGGGGCAGAGCAAAAGGAAGAGGAAGGAAAGGGGCTTTTCTGGGCATTATTCTAACTTTCCTCAGCCAAGCATCCTAAAATGATTAAAGCAGACTTTACCTTCAATGCCAGTTCTAGAAATTGAATGCTTTTACATGTAATAAGAAATACAAGTCTCCCCCCAAAACCTCCAACTACTCCCAATTATCAGAAGTTCCTTTACAAAAAAAGGCTTTCAAATTATGCATAATGGTGGCATCTTATGGGAGAAAAAAAATTTTAAGACTTATCACAATTTAAAGCTCATGTAACTCAAGACCAACCCTGAAGTACACTGCCATCTAGCAATTTTCAATTCACTGGGTCTGCCAGCTTTCAGGTTATGCAACTCTTAACACAATATTAATTTGAAGGAGTTCACATTAAATTTTACACACAAAGGGAGACTGAATTAATATTTTTATATCACAGCACTCCAAGTTTTCCTAATTTAGATACCACTTCATTCAACAGCAATGAACTTGTAAACAACTTAAAATGCAAATACCTAGGATAACCAATATGTGATGTAAATAAAAAATAAATTTGAAGTATCCTTTCCTATTTGGAAAGAAAGAAAACCTGAAAAAGAGAAATTGTTAAATTTATGTCTGCTGAGACTAGAAATGAAGAGTTTCTAATAACTATTAAACTAGTTTAAAAAAATAGTGGTAGTAATAAAGTTGATTAAGAGTGCCTATCACATGAGTAAAATTTTTAAATAAATGCTAATGTTTGTGCTGCATTTCAGTAATTAACAGCACAGTTAGAAGATGGACAGCATGTGTCACCAGAAACTCGACAGGCACCCACTATGAGACATCAAGGCCAATCAGGCAAACGGTGGATCACCCCCCCAGGGTCTGATCTACCTATTGCCCTTCTTTTCAGTGACAGCACTTCCTGGGCACACCACAGGGCTGGGCTCCTGCTGGGCTGGGCTCCTGGGCCGCTGAACAGGGCCTGCGGCTAGGTTCCCGCCAATGCAGGAGGTGTTGGCGTAAGTTACACATGCAATTTCCAGAGTATGTCTTAATAAGTAAGTGGCCTGCTCTCCACTTCCTCTTTTCAGGGCCAGGTTCAACTGTGTGTATGACAACACCAAAGGGAACGACAAAACTTAGAGACAGAAGGAAAGCAGAATCCTGGATGGCCTCACAGAAGACCTGTGGCCTTCATGCTCGAGAAACTTTTATTCTGTTCTAGCCATGTCTGTGAGATGACCTCTGTGTTGTGGTGGGTTAGCCTCTAGCTTGTGTACTGTGTACTTAAGGGCAATGCTCTGTGTCGCCCAGGTACATCTGGATTATCTCCGTGTTCGGGGCCAAAAAATTCTCAAACTAGAGCACACGCCAAAGAGCGCAATTAAGATGATGGTGACTTGAAAACCATACAAATTGGAGAAAGAGTAAAGAAATTAAAAGTAATTCAGAACTATTTAACTTGAAAAGACTAAAGTGAGGATGCAACAATTTTCACATACTTGGAGGTTTATTTATCACAGGGGAGTAGACTTACATACCTTTAAATAAAAAATAGAAACTATGGGAAAGCCTTAATCACTTGGTCTGCTTTTTGTTTGGTTTTAAGATTTTATTTATTTTTAGAGAGGGAAGGAGAGAAGGAGGAAGAGAAGAGAAACATAAATGTGTGGTTGCCTCTCTCATGCCCCCCTTCTGGGGACCTGGCCTGCAACCCAGGTGTGTGCCCTGACAGGGAATCGAACAGGAGATCCTTTGGTTCGCAGGCCTGCACTCAACACACTGAGCCACACCAGCCAGGGCAAGTTTCAAGTTTTGTTTGTTTTTTTTTTAATCCTCAACTGAGGACATGCTTACTGACTTTATAGAGAGGGGAAGGGAGGGAGGGAGGGAGAGAGAGGGAAAGAAACATCGATGCGAGAGACACTGACTGGCTGCCTCTCACGAGAGCCCAGACGGGGCACCAAACCCACCACCTTCGTGCGGTATGTGCCCTGACAGGGAATCCAACCCATGACCCTTTGGTTTACAGGACGATGCTCCAACAAACTGAGCCACACTGGCCAGGGCATTATCATTATTTTAATAAAAGTTTACTGCCTATTATATGCCAGACACTGACCTAAACACAGATACGGCAAACTAGACACATGCTTGGCTCCTGGAAGCTTACAGTGTAGTAATGAGAGGCAGACACTAATCTAGACATCGTGTTATGAACGGTGACAAGTCTTCAGAACAGAATGTGTAAGGTGCTGTGGAAGAGAACACGGGGCCCTGACCTACGACTGCAGGGTGTTTCTCAAAGCAACACTGAGCAAACATCTGTAGAGCAAGTTTCAAGGACACAAAAATCCCCAGCTTCACCCTTCCTAGGGAAAGGAAAGAAGAGGGGAGGGGAGGGGGGGAGGGGAGGGGAGATGACCCTGAAGAAATGAGCTGCAGCTGGCCAGTGGCGAGCCTTGAGGACCACACGAAGAATCTTGGGGGCCCTGACAGAGTCACTCTGTTGGCAAGAGAGCTGTCAATCAAGCCCGATCCCCATCAGGACACACAACAACAACAACAAATCAATCTCAGTCCCAATCTCAATCAATCTCTCTCTCTCTCTCTCTCTCAATAAATTCTTTTTGAAAACTGAAGAATTTTGGGAAATCACTAAAGGGTCTAAAGTTGTGAAAGGAAAGTTATCAGGTTTGCCTTTAGTTTTTAGGGGAGAGAAGCTTGGGGTTTTTGTTTGATTTTCTCAGAGGGGCACTGAAGGAGAGGAGACCAATTAGAAGGCTTCTGTAATATTCTAAGTAAAAAACAACAGACTAAGCTAATAGCGGTGATCCAATTAAAAAATAAAGGAAAATAAAGATTAAGAAATACCCAGGAGATAGAACAGCCCGGACTCAGAGAAAGACCAGACGTGACGGAAAAGAGAAAGGGACGTCAAGGACGTCTGCGGGCTCCCAGCTCTGCGCCAGGTGAGAAGCCAGCCTTTGCACTGGAGGGGGACCGATCTGGGGGGAGGTGGCATCTTCAGCTTTAGACAGGACGAAC